TGCAGAGTTAGAAACACCCCTACGAGATGAACGAGAGGCTTTGGGAGGCATGATCACGATCTATAGAAAGCAATATAGTCAAAGGCCAAGAAAATCAATACGAAAAGGCGCAAGCGATAGCGATTCCAACCCAGTAGAAGGTAACCGGATGAGGACAAAACAAAATCGAACCAAAAATAAGCAGCTGAAAGAGTTGCTACCAACCAGAATCAAAAATAGAGAGCTTAAAGTGCAAAATGGAAAGAAAAAAGGTTGTAAACGAATGGAACAGTCAGAGCGGGCAAAAAAGCAGCCGCTCACTGGCACGGCAGAAGAAAGATCATATGGAAAATTTTTCAAAAAGATCGTGAGCGAGCTTAACAGGTACCTTCGCATTCAAACAATACTTACGAAAGTACATGAAGTCGGCGTGGCAGTTTGAGATGGGATGAGTGGTGGAGACGTCACTTAAAACGCTACTTCGATAACCGACTTTAGAACTGAGACCGAGTTTGAAAGGGCTATGGGCAGTTTTGACATGTGGCCTGTGAATAGCACTGTTACATTGACAACGGTCGTGCAAGCTCAGCAAATCGGCAAAAGTGGTAACTTAGTGTTAGAGCATGGAGGTTCAGATCACAGCTCGGCAACATCTTTGCGTTTTATATATATTAGGTTGTAAAGAAAGTTCCCGGGCACTTTCGACTTTTTTTTCAAAATGTCATAACTTAGCTTTGAGAAAAGATTTTTATTCAAAATAAAAGCCGTGTGCGTCTATACACCTTTGCCAACGTGACACTAAGGATTTTATGCCTATCTCATAAAATCCGCGGCTTCTGGATTCAAAAAACTGGCGGATGTCCTCTTTCAACAGGGCCTCTTCTTCAAACTTTTTTCCGCGTAGATAGAGCTCCAAATTTTTGAAAAAGTGGTAGTCTGTTGGGGAGAGGTCTTTAGAAGAAGCTGGGTGAGGCAGGAGTTCGAAACCCAATTGGCGTAGTTTTTCTAGAGTTGAGACCGCTACGTGCGGTTTTGCGTTATCCTGCAAAATGATTGGTCCGGTCCTATTTACGACAGAGGGCCTTATGTGCAACAGTTTTTCTCTGGTCACTTCGAGCAGATGCGAGTAGTACTCTGCTGTGACTGTTTGCCCATTTGGCAGAAACTCGTAGTGCACAACGCCGTTGACAGACCAAAAAACGATGAGCATGATTTTCTTGGGATGTAGTGACGGTTTCGGAGCCTGTTTCGCGGGCTCATCGACGTCAAGCCATTGGCGCATACGTCCTCGATTATCATAATTGACCCATTTTTCATCCACAGTAACAACGCGCTCAAGAAACGGCTCCGCCGAGTTTCTACAAAGCAAAGAAGTGCATACTTCAAGGCGACGATATCTCTGACTCTCAGTGAGTTTATGAGGTGCCCACCTATCGAGTTTCTTCACTTTGCCTAGTTGGCGCAAGTGATTCGAGATGGTAGTGTGGGATGTCTGCAGCTTGGTCGCCATCTCCCTTTCACTTTGGTTAGGTCGCGATTCTATCAACTCCTTTAGGACGTCGTTTTTCAGGTCACAAGGGCGCCCCGACCTAGTCCCATCTTCAAGGCTCATATCACCGTTTGCAAAACGTTTGAACCAAAACGCTGCTGTGGTCTTAGACACCGTGCCCTTGCCAAAAGTCTTGTTAATATTGAAGGTGGCTTCCCTTGAAGTATGCTTCAATTTGTACTTGTAAAGCAAAATTCCTCGTAAAAGCTTCTTGTCCATCTTGGCACGTTTGCACCTGTACACCTTAATTGAGCAGAGCTGCAACCAAGGCGATAACTCTGTCGTATAGCCCACCTTTTTTGCTACAAGATGATATGTAATGCATACCACCTTAATTGAAATTTACACCTGTTAAGCGTCGTCAAACACAAAATTCTACGTCCTAATACATTACTCTACTATGACGTACATTCATGTTCGTTTGTGTCGCTTGAGGAATTGTTGGCAAGAAAGGTACAAGAAGTCGCAGTAACCGGTTTGAGATGAGTGCTGCAACGCGTCACTTAAGGGTAGTTCCAATAACCACCTTCGCTAGCTGTCCTCCATAGCAACTACAGAAAAAAGACAAAGTTGTGTGTCGTGTGGTCTACGCATATTTTTAATTATATATAACGCAAAAATATTAAGGAGTCCAATCTGATTCTCGATACTCTGAAACGACAGCTATCATCATATTTGCTAGTTCGCTAAGCTTGTTGCCCTCTTGCAAAAGTCCCCAGCTGTCGATAGCGTTTTAGGTGACGTGTCCATCATCCTTTTCCTCTCAGACGTCGACTTTCTTCTGCAAACAGTCTTCGAATGCGAAAGTACCCGTTAAAAGTTCATGATCTTTTTAGACGGTGTCATACAGTTCATCGTCTCTGATACATCTAGTTATAAGATTTGTGTCCCATGTCAGCCCGAAATCTTCAAATTGTTAATGTTGCCAAAATTAGCTGTGTTGGAGAAGTTAGAACATAAGCCGTAGTTTCTCAAAAACATCTTAAGCCAACAACAGACAGAATTACTCTCGCACTTATCCATATTATTTAGCCAGCTGCTCCACACGAACTTTGGAACTGAAAAGGCTGTTTGAGCATACGCCACTGATGTACTGACGTAACATCAAACAATTGCGCATAATAACGTCCTCTCAGGTTAGAATGAATAAACGTACATCTTCAAGTCGTGGGTCCTAATAGGGCTTACTAAAAAAGTACCACGTAATGGATAGCTTTCTCATTTGAAATGCTCAAATTGGCTTATGTAATGGTGCATTCTCTGGCAGGCGTATCAAGAGGAAACCTCGAAAAACAATCTATGCCAATTCAGCTCTAATGTGTCCGGGTAACGTTCGTTTGTAGAGCAACGATAAGATGCTTGTAAAGCAATAATAAGTTTTTCCTTTGTATCCGTTTATCTAGATAGGAAATGTATCAAAGTAAACCGCAAGATGACGTTGTCTCACTTGACATCTCAAACGAGATTGTAGAAGATAGTATAGAATGATGCTATTGAAGCATACAATACGCCTGCTCATGTGCAACCCCCTATTACGCTAAAGAAGCAGTAGTAGGGGATGTATGAGCTGTCATTACTGCTGTATTAGAGAAACAGGTGGAATTTTAGGCGTTGTCTAAAGGAGCACATGCCGCGCGAGATATAAGAAACTTTCCTGCATCTTTGGAACGACCTGAAGTTAAAAGACATCTTGGAAATGACTTTGAAAATTGTGCATTTCTATATATAGAACTGAGATTTATGTTAAAGATGTGCTTGAGGCAGTACACTATTCAAGACCATCAATCAAGATAAATGCCAAAAATATATGGTGTTTCTTAGTAGTAATATTCTACCGTCCTTGACTCTATGAGATACGTCTAAACATGAAAATCCTATGTCAGTGGATGTCACCCAGTTGGTCTGTTGATTTTTTACGTGCGGACTCACATGGTGAATAAAAGATCGGTTCGTTTCATCTGGTTCTTATGCTGGCTGCTACTCCCAAGCAAGGTCTAGACTGGCAACATGGGAGGCAGTTTTTGACGCTAAAGTTGATATCAGGTTGAACCGAAAGTTCTGCCGTTTCATTTTCAAAAATTTGTAACTTCGCGAGATTTCAACGGATTTGGTTTGTAATTTTATTAGAAAGATTAGGTCTTCCGCTTTCAATCGCTGTTTTGTGGAGCTTCTGTTTCACATTAAGTGCAGAGATAAAAATGGAAAACTAATACCATATAAACTTTGACCATTTTAAGTTAGGTCACCAAAAATCTGGAATGCTGCAGAAAAATCTGAAATCGTCAGTACATATGTTTTTTGGCCTACTCTTTGCAATCGTGAAGAGTTTGTGCTGTTTGGACGTCTCTGTGAGAAGTTATGAATATCGAGTTTACTATGGAGAACGCCAAAATTAATTAATTTGTCAATTTTCCCGAAAATCATAACTTCTCACAGAGACGTCCAAACAGCACAAACTCTTCACGATTGCAAAGAGTAGGCCAAAAAACATATGTACAGATAATTTCAGATTTTCTGCAGCATTCCAGATTCTTGGTGAACTAACTTAAAATGGTCAAAGTTTACATAGTCTTAGTTTTCCATTTTTATCTCTGCATTCAGTGTGAAACAGAAGCTTCACAAATCGATTGAAAGCGGAAGACCTAATCTTTCTAATAAAATTACAAACAAGCAAAACCGTTGAAATTTCGCGAAGTTACAAATTTTTGAAAATGAAACGACAGAACTTTCGGGTCAACCTAATAGGTCAAAATGCTTATGATCTATGTATGGACCTCTGAACAAGACAAATTTGACAGTCAGGTTTATCAAATATCCACAAGGACACCTGGTTGGCCCATTTACATCACTGAAACACACAACACGGTACCCAAATGGCAAAAAGCAAAAAAAACTCGTATTTTCGAGCTATAATGTTAGTATGGATCACGCCGTGGCAGAAATGCCGGGTGCGATTTGACCATACAAAGTAAAAGTAGTTCTAAATCAAAATCAGGATAACATTTTTTTAGTTGTACTTCCTTGCAATCAGTGAAATAAGAACATAAATTCGATCCTTGTTCACATTTGGCAATAAATTAAACAGGAAACGTATGTAAGTCGCAGTGGAGTTACAATATGAGTTGTGTATCAGTCGAAGGTCTTTGAGAGCTAGTTCTAAAGCAGCCTTTCATATCTGCTTATCGGTCTACTGCAGAAAGTTACAGGCATTTGTTTGGTCTTAAATGACACATTTTGGCTGCTTATTGCAAAACGAAGGCGACAGAGTAGCTTAAAACCTAATTCCATCAATTTTTTATGTACAATAAATATATCTCAGACAAGGGCATGTAACTTAACTTAGCGATATGCATTTATTAGGAATTTAGGTCATTTATACAAAACACCACTGCGAGTCATATACCTTCTTTTGTAAGTACTACTTGACTTGTTAATTCAACATGAATTTAGGTGTGATAGCGTTGCACAATACCTGCAGTTTGAGAACGTTTTCTTGGCGTGTTTTTCCAAGTCGAGAAAGCGTAGCATTTGCTCAACAATTGATGATGGTTCTTTGTAACCTAGAAAAGTCAAAGTCATTACTCTGTTAGTTATTGAATTTATAATTTACCTATTATTCCTGCAATAATGACCATGTTTTGCTTGCAAGAAAGGCGCGGGAGCGCAGCATCGAATTGAGGGCAGTAACCGATTCCCTGCAAACAGAGCTGATATTTTGGAGTAAGGTTTTCCCCTATGGTGCTTCCTCCGTAGTGATCAACGGTGCACCTGGGCGTTGTGGGAGACCTATACTCACAATTTAGCGCGAAGTTAATTTTTACAGAACTCAGCACGGGGCAGCCACAAATGTTTAAAAGAGTTTTCAGTACATACGCAGAAAAAAGTACGGCACATTTTATGGGGTGTCAAACGAAAAACCATAAGAAATATAAGACAAAGTAGAACGTAAAGACAGACACTAAGACATAAAAACATGAATAACGATGTACGCATTCACTGAATGTGGTGGCACGCATCTCCGCCGCGCGTCAGCGCACGCTTGTAGCAAAATTGCCGCCACAAATCAATCTAAGGCTGTAGCTAAAGAGAGGGCGAGTATAAGCTGCCGAAATACCAGTCATAGGATGAATATGAAAAAAAAATTATGTAAAGTTCCATGATAAACGAGAACAATTGTGACTTTGTGTTTTTTCAGGCCAGCTAAATTTGAAAAAGCGTTTTTAGTTCACATGGATTTCACAATATCCCAACTGCTTCGATGCCTTATTGCGCACATCACACCAAATTTGACATCATATCATTGTGCGTTTGTTGCAAAAAGACCATTCGTCTAGCACAAACTGAATCCTCCGTCTTTACTTGAAACACACATGCAGAGATGAAAATGTAGAGGAGTGGGATAGAAAGCGTAGAGTTGCTAATATATGGCTCATGTGGCAATGGCTCTGAAATTTGGATTTGGGAGGAGGGAAGAGCGGGAGAAGGATAAAGAGCAAATTTATCAGAGTGATGGGCATACAGTCATCACGCCTTGCGAAGAAATTTCTTCAATATAAAAATAGTAATAATAGATAATGTTTATAATTTCTAATATTATAACCTAAAAACTCCGTTTCGTTCCTTTTAGAAGGAGTATTGTGTTGTTTCTATGCCATTCCTGGAACTCTTCAGTAAGGAAGGATGGTTATAATTAAACTAACTCATCTTTCTGTATAAAATTGATAAGAGAGTTTATATTTCAAACATTGGTTTCAAACATCTGTTGATAATTTTTGTTTGAAAGGTTAATTCCAAATGCTTAGTAAAAAGGCAACTTTTATTGATTTTCAAACATTTTTCAAAATTTAGTGGCTCTTCTGGGTCCTTTTCATCATCTAACCATATTTTCTCGAACTCCTTGTTTGTCTTCGTCCACTGTGGTTTCCACGTTGGACTCCTTTCTTTTTGAATCCATTTGTCTTGATGTAGGAGACCTCCATCGCGATTTTAGTTGATAAATGAATCTTTCCAAACGTATCAAACTTGTTATTGAATGTGTCATTCATAATCTTAATTTATTTCGAATGTTTGGAATGAATGGTAAAGAAAAGTGTTTGCTTGGCCTATCAGCATCGATTACAACGGAACGTACATGAGGCATCCACCACACATGGTCCTTTGGGCCCACATAAGCCGGAGAAATCACAAGTCAATTTGAAATATCAGATCTTGTCGACGTTGGTGAAACGGTAGAGATGTTGTGTGTTGAAGCTTTTTTTTTATCTTGTATGGATCCAGCCATTGTTTCAGAAGAGTATTCCATTTACTGTCCGGTTATTTGTCTAGGTTTTCAGAAAGCAATGACGGTTTATTTCACCCAATCCTTGATCCACTAGCTCCGTGCTAGCGCAAGCTTCAATCTCCGCTGAGTTCATTTCAGTAGAAACCTGCGGAATAGTAACGTCCAAAGTGTCGTTTAGAATAATTTTGATAAGTTACGGTTGGTTAGCCCTTTGTCTTCTGCGCGGAGTAAGCCTTTTACAGTAAGCCATTGAAGAGGCGCTAGCGAGTACTGAAGATCATACCTCGAGGTCTTTCTTAGAACACTCACTATGACATAAACTTGACCAGCCGTAAACCCAAGTGGGTGATCTTCTCCCATTGTTTCTGCTTTCTGTAGGAATTTCATTGTCACACTATCAAATTTCTTTCATAAAGATAGTATAAGTATTCTGCCTCAGAGCGGCTGTGGAAGATAGGCCAAGAGGACCTAGACTCACTTTCTTTTTTGTCTGGAAATAATTTCTCGGTTTTTGTAGAAACGGTATGATGAAGTTGCCCTTTACACGTTTCAAGCACAAAAGCCGGGGAGATCCGGGCACTAGCCCGAAGGATGCCCTCAGCGTAGAGAGGTTCAACCTCCTCACGTGCCCGTGCACACTCTCCGTGTGCGGCACCTGCCCCGGGTGGGGACCCTACAAGTAAAGTTGGGTTCAACTTCTTTAGTATGATTCAATTCTGGAAATTATTTTGTCAGTAATTTTCTATAGATTTTTGAAGCTTTTACCACAAAAATGATATCCGGTCTGCCGGTGTGCCACCTGTGCCGAGACCCGTCCGAAAAGTGTTTTTGACACACACTTAAGACATCCAGCTCGCATATACAATAGCTGGCATCCCCGATCTATAGGAGATGGGTACAGCAAACGGTACACTCGCTCAATTAATATATTTACACTTATAAGCTGCTGCATGACGAAGGAGCAAATACCTTTGGGGGCAAACGCGGTTATTAGCCGCAGGGCGCTCACAACGGTGAGGACACGCGCGCGCCGCGTTCGTGCCCGCTCAACTAGTTACTGCTATTGCGCCTTCGTCATGCAGTAGCCTTTACATTTCCGCTAACTACGCGTCCCCTCTATTTGCCTCACTGTTTCCTCCTCTCTGCATCGCATACAACCTGCGACAGTCTTTGTAAGAATAGACTGTCTCATTGACAGACTCACGTGGAACAAAAATAACGAAGAAAGAATGGAATAGCACAAAGATTTATCTTTCCGGGTACGTGGAGCTGCGGTCATTTCATTCTCCAACCCGCTTCAAAATCGAGTCTCTTTCCATCAAAAGCGAAAGCGAGTAAGGGTATGAGACGAAGGTTGAGATCTGAGAGAAAAACACTTGAAAAAGGTCAAAAATGTTTAACGCCTGCCGCTCACAGGCGCATGTGGGCGGCTGCAGCGCATGCAGCATAGTTCCGGCACAGTTCCAACACAGTGCGAAAACTGCGCTGAAAATGTTTCGGAACTTCAGGATCAGTATGAACCAAGCTAAGCGCGCACAAGCTGTTCATAAAGATTACTATGTATTTTAAGTAGGTTTGGTCAATTTATAAACGTGAGTTTACGAGCTATAGCAAGATGTGACCATCATGCTTACTATCATCATGCTTACTTTTAGAAGCTTGATTGAGGCACTGGAAAACTTGAAAACACAAAAGGACTCAAACCCAACCCTGCATCAACTTGCGAGGCTATCGCACTAGCCACTACACCACATCTTAGCGGCAGTTTTGGCAATCCGACCATTTCTCCTTTGGCGCGAAAATCCTTCATAACTTTTTTTCCCGAGAAACGATTAGCAAAACGGAAAGTCGGTTTCGGAATCAGCGCTTAAAAGACGAGTGAAATGGTGTATCGTTTATTCGTTGACCGTAACGACTGCTGACCGCGCCGCGACCGCTGCGCGTGCATGATGTTTTCGTAGAAAAGATGAATAGAAAGAAAACAGAGGATTCTTCTCATCTTTATAATGTAGAAAAGAAACAAAGAATTTTCTCATCTTAAGCCACGGTCCAACTTGTCACTTTTTCGCAAGTTTAGAAGGCACGCGTCGCAGTCGCCACGCGGTCGGCAGTCCGTACGGTCAACGAATGAACGATACATCTCATCTCAAGAGGCCACGGACACCAAGTATAGTTTCCTTGTAAGTAACATTATATGAATTTTGGAAGCCTTTGTCGAAAATTATTGCACAGATGTTGTAAGAGACCGGTATATTTTCCGCCAGTTTTTACGTATTTTGTCTATATCAGAATGTGTTTATAAGCCAGTTTGAGCACACTTCAAAGATACAAGATATGAGGCATCCTGATAGTCCAGGTAATGCGTTTGACAAAATGAATAGAAATAAAAAAACAAAGAAAAAGAAATAAGAATTGATGGACTGAGTGAACTTCAGAGGAACTTTGGGAGCCTCCGTGGAAAATTACTGCACGCATGTTGTCAAGCATATTTCGTGCCAAGCTTTATGCAATCTGAAGATGTCCGAATGTTTATAAGTCATTTTGAACACATTTCAAAGATACAAGATATGAAGCATTCGGTGTTTTCAATAAAACTGAGAGACCTCAAGTCATGATGTGTACAACTCCTGTAACTTGATGAGGTTCCTTTGCGACTGAAGTCGGACAAAATACACTGACCACGTACAAGTATTTGCTGCGCGCGTGATTAGCTGCGTTAGCGATTGGGCTCTGACAAGACTTTTGAGCAGGCTACCGCATATCGAAACGCTTATGGATAACTACTACTCATAGTATTATCGAATTTTTGGCTGCCTCATAAAAATAGAAGACGGATCATTCTGCTTTTCTAAGAAATTAAGTAAGTAAGATGTCGGAGAGAAAAGGCTTACCTGAGTTCGATTTACGTACTGATCTCCTATGTAGACGCTCCCATTGTTTGCAAATCGTGACCCAGTAATAATCGCGAACGCAGAAGTTTTACCAGCTCCACTCGGTCCAACCAGGCCAAAGCAATCTTCGTTACGAACACCAAACGTAACACCTTTCAGCGCACATTTCGAACCGTAGTACTTCGTAAGGTTCTGAAAAGTGTTTTCACATACCAAACAAGTTTTCTGACGCTAACCGAAACGAGGTGATTTGAGGCTCTATCACATTTATTGGTAAAAACGTCTTTTCAAAGTTTGTGATAGTCTGTTCTAATAAGATAAATTAGTATAATGCGCATTCGCATAGCTATGGTTTTCGGTCACCCCTAGCTCATATGAGTGGACGAATAGGCAGTCTTTTTCTTCAATCCTGATGATATGGGCGCTGCAGATCAACGCCGTGCTTGAGTACTGCGAGCGGCATTTTCGGTCAATTTTCGGAAGGATCACGGACGAGTCAAAGAGTTAGAAAGACATGCACTTTTTACACGATAACAACCTTTAGAGTCAAAGCGTACAGGGCAGAACAAAGAGGAGTTAATGAAACCTTTAGTGCAAAGCGTCCTCCTTGCTATTTCACAAACTAATCAGTTTACTATTGCATACACAGTCCTTTGCTCACCAAAAGGTACGAAGGAACATTTTTGTAAAAAAATTATATCATTACCACTTAAATTTAGCACTTTCTAGTAAGAATCATGATGCGCGCTCACTAATTATAGACCTATATCAGAACCAGGCACAGTTGGCGCCAAGTCAAGCTGATTGTCGTTGCTGGGAAAAGAGCCCTTTGAAATCGCAGAAAAGTATTAGGTTGGCGCAAAAATAATGGTCGTTTTGCGAATTCTCACCTTGACGTGTCATGACTTTTGGAAGATTCACATTTTCGAATGCGGTAACGATCGTCAGAAGAAGCAAACGTTTTGCAATACAGCGCACATTTACTTACACTCACATCACGAATGGGCAAAAAAGTACGAATTGAAAAACATAAAAGGTTCTTCCGCTAAAACCTTGTTTTTGACAATTCATAACTTCTTTCAAAGTGTGTTAGTATGAATGATAAGTCAGTGGTACAAAACACAGTAAAGAATTCGGACAAAAAAGTTTGCGAGAATGAAAAAAATTGGAATTTGAAATTTCTTACTTTTTTCAACATTATTTCAGTGTGCCTCATAGTCCCGAATATAAAATATTCCTATTAATAGAATTTTCTGATTTTCTACGTACTGAACAGCTGAATGTTTTTGAAGAAACTGCTAATAGGATGTCTGGTCCTATGCTTACAGAATTGAGCAAAGCTTCGGCGATTGACTTCTTCAGAGAAAAAGTATGGGTCGTATGACCGCAACAGCTACCCATGTTTGCACGCCGATGTCTCAGTCTGGATAACTTCAAAGAAGACAGTTAAGTATGCATAATGTAGGCAATTTCTATTACATACAATAGCTAAATCTTCGAAGAAGTGCCATTCATACGCGTTTGAATTCTCGCTAGAAAATTGAATGCAATGAAATTCTGAGTTGGGATGCGGTTGTTTGAAGCTCAGTAACTTTATAACAGATGAGGATGGAAGCATGTTACAAAGACCATAAGATAGAACATAAGGACAGCTTTCTGATGGTACACTATATCTATTTTAAAGAAGAAGTATTGATGGGCCCTGAAAAAAGGCTAGGAAAATCGGCCATTACTTTTGCACCAACCTAATACATTGAAGGGATCCCATGTTAGAAATCTGCCATTCATCCAAATCATTCACTCTGTAACTAAAAAGCTTGACTTTCTGAATATCATCTCCTTACAAACTTTTATCGCATTCGCCTGATCTTGAGGTTAAAATGAGCTTTACCGCCTCCTTACATAGTTGGGGGGGGGGGCTGTTTGGAGCATGACAAGCTTTTATTTTCTCAGACGCAAGCAAACGCAATGAATTAACAGAAGGACTCAGAGCAAAATGCCGCAAAAAGTAACCTATGTTTTCCGCCATGGTCGAAAACATTTATATGCAAAGATTCAGCTCAATTTTACTGATGGGCGTTTCTATGACTAACGAACAGATTAACGAACATCCTTACAAAGTCTGAATTCTCTGTATATACCAGTACAAAGCAGAAAATCTGTGTGTATACTAGGTGTGTGTATGTGTATGTATGTTGTGTATGGTGTAATATCTCCTCTATGACGAAGACGGTCGCCTAAATAGGTTGAGAGCATGCAAGGCTGACGCGCACGTGGCGGGGCAATTGTCAACCACGAGTTGGCGGTCATCCACGCGCACGCTCGCGTGGATGACCGCTAACTGAGCGTGCGCGCGCCCTGTGGTTGACAATTGCCCGCGCGCCGCGGCATTGCATGCTTTCAACCTATTTGGGCGACCGCCTTCGTCTTGGAGCAGATATTATATGTGCGTGGGGGTGCCATGTATGTAAGTAAACGGCGTTGTGCGTGCGAGCTGAAACCTTACATACATGTCCTATCAACACCGCGGTCATTATAGGCTACTTTTTTGCAGCGATCTACTGAGTTTTTATATCATCTGTTGATTTGTTTCAATACATCAAGAAAAATGAAAGTACATCGTGTCTTGACCAATCATTTCCTAGGATTATGTAAAACGAGCGGTAAAGCTCATAAAGTCAGTAGGAGGCTATGATGCATCGAAAGCTTTAAATGGAGAGCTAATATTTGCTGCGCAAAAGCATGGGCCGACTTTGGAGAAGGAGAGAAGAGAGGATTAACACAGAAACAGGAAAAGTTGAGTATTTCCTAAAATTTCACAGATAAGTTCTCCCATCAGATTTCAGATAGGTCCGCTTTTTTTTTGATTCAGATGCGGACTTATCTGTAGGATTTTAGTTTAAATGGGATGAAGTAATAAGTTTTATCATATTATGCTGACAGGGACCGACCAAAACCGTTTATCTCAGCTAGTATATACATATGAAGATTTTGACAACTATTGAAGTAGTATTTCTCTCTGTCATTAGTTAATCAATGCCAGTGATGAGGCTTGCTTGCATACTGCTTCCCGTCATCTTTTTGCGATATATATAAGAGGAATGTGTTTGAGGTAAAGTTAGAAGTCCACAGAAGTTTTTTGTTCGACCGTTGAATTCTACATGGACATCAAACATATGAGAAATCTGCTCTTGAAGTTGGCTAGATCAATCTATGAAGTTGGCTAAATCAATCGAACCGTGCCCCCCCCCCGCTACAGCATAAGAACTACCTGCACCGTCAAAGTGAATTCCGAAGTATAATTCTCAACATATTCTCTTTCTTGAATGACGTCTTCACTGTCAGAAATGTTACTTCTCTGCAAATATATAATAATCAATGAGAGTGCTTGTGTCTTTGACTTCATAAACTTTATCTGAGCGCATTTAACACCAACCTCTACATAGGTTTTTCTGCAAAAAATTCTTGTCAGGTTGTCGAGGTGATATTCGCACAAATACAAAATGAGCAGAAAAATACTGCCGTGAACAAAAAAAGATACAATAATTTTTTCATCTGAATCTGGGTAAGAATTTATGCAGAAATGCTTCCGATATATTGTATCCTATATGCAAATATGCAACGCTACTGCAACGTCTCAAAATACAATCTTTTTTGGTTGCATTAAAGCCCCTTGTAAATGTTAATCTTCACTAAATGTTCCGTGATTTCAGATAGTTACAGTGCATAGAATGCTTCGCAAACTATTCCTTAGAAGAGAGAGCATCTACAGTATGTCTTCTTGAAAAGCATATGCGCTTGAAATCAGCTTAAAACAATGATTTTAAAAATTCTGTCCGTAACTTACTTAATCATTAATCTAAAGAGAGTTATGAACACTTTCTTATAAGTGACTGACACACTAGTGAGAAGATCTCTGCATAGGAATCCTGACGGCATTGGAGCAAAGGCCACGTGCATTGCATCTCCGAGAGGGAGGCTCAAAAGAAGGCTTTTAATTCTAAAGCTTCGGATTTCTGGTTTTACGCTGTCTATTCGTCTTGAGCATTTCTGCTACATCGAAAAAGAGCGCTTTGCTGTTGATACCGCGTTTCAGAGCTGTTCGTGTGATCCACTGATAATCCCTAGTAGCTGGATTTTTTCTTTGAAGACATTTTTTCATTTTTCGATTTGTGTAAAAAAAGCTAGAACGCGGCTTTTACAGCATTGCTCTCGTTTTCGTTTTGCTTATTGCGAAAGGTAGTATGAATACTTTTGGATGGATGGACATGAAATACTCTTGGCGAGTGTGTTGTCGCATGCGGCCCCAAGTTCAATATATTAGGTTGTCCGAAAATTAATGCCCGTTTTGAATTTCAACCTCAATAAGTCATGCACTTCTCACTTCTAAATAGGTTGCAAAGAACCATTCGATAGAGCAAAGCAAGCACTACAATATGGCCATCTTGCTTTTGCAACAGCTCTCATCCGCCTCGAGTTTCAAAGCAAAAAGTAAAAAGACTCAGCAGCCCGAAAAATCGAAAAAAAATCGCAACTCAGTTCATAAAAATCCTACAACAATTCTAACTTGCTCACATAAACATTATCCACATAAGACATATATATACGCCTTTGCCTTATTTTTTCTTCTGTTAGTAATCAAGAAAACGGAAATTTTCGTGCATTTGCCAAAGTGATGCTGTGCCATCCCCACATAGGTAGTTGTATACCACAAGCCTGTAGAAGTACAGACCTAAATTTTCAGCCCTTTACAAGCTTTAGTTTTCGAGAAATACCGAACATAGCTTTCCCTAGTTAGGTGCTCCAAGCTAAAATTCAAATTTTTCGAGAACTAAAGCTTGTAGAGAGCTGAAAATTTAGGTCTGTACTTCTACAGGCTTGTGCTATACAACTACCTATGTGGGGATGGCACAGCATCACTTTGGCAAATGCACGAAAATTTCCGTTTCCTTGATTTCTAACAGGGAGAAAAATACGGCAAAGGCGTATATAGATGTCTTATGTGGATAGTGTTTACGTGAGCAAGTTGGAATTTTTGTAGGATTTTTATGAACTGAGTTGCGATTTTTTTCGATTTTTCGGGCTGCTGAGTCTTTTTACTTTTTGCCTTGAAACTCGAGGTGGATGAGAGCTGTTGCAAAAGCAAGATGGCCATCTTGTAGTGCTTGCTTTGCTCTATCGAATGGTACTTTGCAACCTATTTAGAAGTGAGAAGTGTATGACTTATTGAGGTTGAAATGCTAAACGGGCATTAATTTCCGGACAACCTAATAGATAGGACGCATTATGCAGTTGTCAACCACCTAAATGTTGAAGCACAACATTCAGGCAGGAACTTTATTTTTATGATCAGTTACAGAAGCTTTGGACCTATGCATGGAAGAATCGCTCACGATGAATTTGCAGATATCTGGCGAGCTGCCAAGGCGTGCGAATCTCGCTATTTGGCTAAATCGCCTAAGGCATGCTTTCAGCTTTAGATTCAGTACTACACTGAGTCGTTCCAAAACTAATTTTGCTTTTTTCAGAAAAGCGTAATATCCCGATGAAGATACTCGAAAGGTTTTGGGCATATTCTATGTAGCTTCTCTTCTTCTTACAAATGCTCGTTTTCTCGTTCCAATTTACAAGCTTTTTGAATATGACCAAAGTAGGATCTGCCTAGGTTCCATGGTTAAGTTTCGCTATTTTTGTGAATTTTCGAGTCAATTCTCTAAGCAGACTAACAAGGGAACCTTACTTAGTGGGAGTGGCGATTCGGAAGGAAATCTGTACCCGTGGATAGAGCTCAAAACGCTGATCTCAGGCATACCTTCCATATCTGGTCTGGGACGCATTGTTTTGAAAAAAGTTATGCGCTTTTTTAAAGCCAAATTTTCGTGCATTTTGAGTCGCAAAATTATGATAATTTCTACACAAAAGTGTGCAAGCTCAAGCAAACTAACTAGTAAGCATTGTAGGTCTAACTCAAATTCATCCGAACGTTTTCGAATGTTTTCCGACCATGTTATTTATCCAAAGGTCGCCATTTAGTTTCTATCAAACTTCCATTATATTGTCCCGAAAGTTTTGTCCGTTTTTTCAAACCGCTATAAAACCACGCGGAATAAAGACCCGAATTAGTTCCAACATGTATTCGATGCAGCTTTTCCTTTTCTTTCTTAGGGGTGTATTTTCGAACCATGATCTTGTACACTTTTTTTGATAATTGCCAAAATTTCCCACTCGTCATTTTTGTCTGCTCAAAGTTAGGTTAATTTTTAGAAATTTCAATGCAAAGTTTCGGAAAGTTTTAAGTATGCATCAAATGGGACAATTCTCGGGCTACAAGTTAAAATGTCTAGCTTTTTTTAACCTGCTCTTTTTAGCTTTAAAGAATTATTTCTTCTGAGGTCTCGATTTCTGGCAAACTCATAAAACACGCAACCTCTGCAAATACACGGAAGTTTTTAAAGTTTTGCGAATTGAAACATGATCCTTATTAAACATTATTTATGCAACATTACCAAATTTGAATTGCTTTGAAAAAGCAGCATTTGGGAATTTTCGGTACTTTTACGTGGTAAACGTAATCAAAAAGCCGCGGTTTTTATTAAATAAATAATTATCACGGACTTGGCAAACGTGATGCATGTAATCTAAAATGAGTACAATGTAGCCAAAGGCTTGCTCTACATAAGATTACCAAAGCTCCTTGAAAACATTGGGATAAAAATTTTTAAAATTCAGGGAAGATTTGGCACTAGTGCTGAGCTGCTGAAAAAGCCATGGCGATAACTTCGCAAAGGCAGACTAGATCACAGAGCAAATGTAGTTGTAAGAAAGAGGATAAAAATTTGAATCAAATGGTACCTAAGTTGTCCATAGATTGGTGTTCAGCAAGTTTTAGTGAGCGATGAAAAAAACGGACAAAACTTTCGGGACAACCTAATATATACAAAAAATCCTTTAAACTCCATCAAGAAGAATGCGTCGCAGATATTGAAGATATATTTGAAAAAAATCGTTTTACGTTTTATTCACTGGTAATTTCCAAAAAGTTTCCGACGCGACACGTTTTTCTAATTGAAGGTTATGGCACTTTTTTTTACATAATGGAAGTGTGATCGAGGAATAAAATGACCTATGGATAAACAACATGGTCGAAAAACACTCGAAAGCGTTAGGATGAACTCGAATTAGACCTACAATGCTTATTAAGTGATCTGCTTAAGCTTGCACACTTTTGTATAGAGATTATCTTGATTCTGCGACTCAAAGTGCACGAAAATTTGGCTTTAGGAAAGTTCGTAACCTTTTTTGAACATTTGCATCGCACTTCCCTTGTTAGTAACCGATAAGAGCATACCCTACCGTGTACGAAACATTTTCTTCTTCCCCATAGCCCGCTCGTTAAACCACTGAATCTTAAAAGTCTGTATCAGACACAAATTCGTCAAACACCAATAAATCTCCAAAATTTGCGGCAAAAATAAATTAAACACTAATTCAAATCAAATAAGCGGTTACGGAAATATCAAATTCACGATTTTTTAGGTGCAATTGAGGTGCGTTTAAAAAAATAAATTATGAGGATTTTGCCCCTAAAACCTCCACGAATGAGAAACAAAGAAGCCTATTAGAAGGAAGATCAAAAGCTTCATCGAATGACACCCGAGTTGCTCCCTGTTAATGTTCTATGTTGAGGTCTGAGTTGGTCAGATGTGGATTTTCAGAGCACAAAAAATAACTGTGAAAATTCTGAAAAACAGACTCTGAAAGGGAGGAAATTTGATTTGTGTTCTGTGGGGTTTGCTCTATCCACTTGTTACTTGGACTTTCTCTAAGGATTGGTACAAAAATCAGAAAATTAGTGCAACTTGACTATGGCAAAAACCATGGGTCGTAGGTTTTCGATAGTTTTTTAACCCATTCACGACGACGCCTAATGTTGCGTGGCGCACAGTGAGACGACGCGATTTTGCACAATACTTGGGAAAGTTGTGTGATTATTTACGAAATGTATAAATGTTTTGCACACAACTACGGCCAACTTCTTGGACGACGAAGTCTATAAGTTCCAAGAGTGCAAAATACTTGGAAAAATGCTGAACCTTCAATAAAAATACTGAACCGGAGAGGATGTAATTCTGCGAGAAGTGTGTCGTCAACGGGTTAAGAGCTTGTTGAGTAAACCGGAGAGTTGACAAACTTTCTGAAGGGGATAAAAATCTGCATTGGAAATGCCCAAAAACTTGCAAGGATCTTTTTTTCTGCGAAATAATACGTTTCTTTCTGCAAAAAACAAAATTTCCTTTGGAACGATTTAATGTAGAATGGAAATTGAAGGAGCTTCTTGTAGGATTATGGAGAAACATCGAGCATACAGCATTATTGTGAACTAAGCTTTACAGATGCCATAAATCCGAAGAGCTGTAACAGAGTCCTCACTGGTAATTGTTACATAGCACGACTTCCTATGAATTTCTAATGCTTTTCTAAAGGTTAGCTACAGTACAAAAGAACACTGAAAAGAATGAAGTTGTTATGGCATGTCTTATTACCTAAATCATAGAAAAATACTGTGAAAGCGCAAAATTCATAACAATTTCAAGTGCTCTGATTACAATAGTATGAAAGTTAGGCGAAGTTGGTTTTATTTCAAAAGCAAAATGTGATTCCTGATGGCTCAAAAACATCTTCAAAGTTCTTGTTGCACTCTTAGAGACCTCGCTTTATACTGCAATCAAGTCGAAGCCAGCATTATTGGAAAATATCCGGAAATCGGAGCAAAATTTTATAGAAAGGAAAATACTATTAGTCAAAAATGCCAAACTTTTTTAACATTCATGGTTCTCACACATTCCCTTCTAGGAAGGTATTCGTTATAGCAAACTAAGCTGTGCAAGACTATGTTTTATAATCGTACTCAAATTTGAGAGATTTAAAGTTTGAAAGTAAAGCTGGAATAATTTGATTGCCCTAAAATCAAGAATAAATTCAAACTTCGCAGAAATGCTTTGGCCACAGCAATGCTCGGGTGTTTTTACATTAGCAATTGTATTTTTATATGCATTTACAAGGACGTTTGTGAAGTTTTGGCTTTCTACGAAAGCCACTCTTTAAGAAATTTCAAATCTAGCTACCCTTATTCAGGGCGTAGGTGCGATAGTGTGAGAATTTTCTCACCCCCTTTCACCCCTGAGCCGGGACCAAGGTAACTCTCTTCACCAAAAGCCAAGAAAAAAATCAACAATGAGGTAAGGTTAAGCAAAGGAGATATTTGTACGTGAATTGTTTATGTATAGGAAAGGAGGAGTCTGTTGAAAAAAGTGCTTGGTTACGGGTGCGAGTAGTGATTTCTGGACGTTTTTAACATTAAAAAATCCATAAATTTTGTAGATGAACATCTTTTACGGCCGAACTTTGCTTGGGGTCCATTGTAAAAAGTGCCTGGGTGAAGAATGTCCTAGTGATTTCTGGAGATTTTCGAGTTTTTAACAGAAAAAAAATTCATAACTTCTGTAGATGAACATATACGCCGCGATGGTCACCATTGGAACCGTCTCGTCCTCCGTTTTCAAAAAATATATACTTTGCTTGGGATCCATTAGAAAAAGTGCTGGGATGAAGGGTGGGTGAGACTCTTACAATGGTAAAAAGACGTCTACTTGAGCACTCCCATTATAAAAGTCTCACCCACTCTTCACCAGGCACTTTCTGTAATGAACCCCAAGCAAAGTACATGTTTTCTGAAAGCGAGGACAAGACGGTTGGTGACCATCACGGCGTACAAGATTTTCATCTACAAAAGTTGCGGATTTTTCTGTCCTAAAAACTCGAAAATATCCAGAAATCACTACCCACAATCTACACCAGGCAGTTTTTTAGCAGACTCCAGTCAAACTATATATGCTCTAGAAGCGGAAGACAAGGTAGTTTTGAAAACATTTTCCTTGACGTTGCTGCATCTACAGAAGTTACAACTTCTTTTTTTAGAAAATTTTATGATTTCTTGATCACCTGAAACACCCTTCACCCGCAGGGGCTGCGACCGCTGTGACCCCCTTCACCCTGGAGGGGTCATTCTCACCTCATCGCACCTGTGATCCAGGGTGTGTGCCGATTTCAATCTTTCTCAAGCATGCTGGGTTGAATTTTATGTTATGTCGTTAGTGACCTTTGTGAGAACAGCACAGCGTTTTGGTGAAAGCATGCAAAATTTTGCTTCCTCGAGTTACAGGAAAAAAATAAAAATAAAGTGTCATTTGCAAAATGACGATATCATAGCTAGAGAGTCCAATAATAAACTAAGCAAGACTTCCGTAATTGTCCAAACTAAAACTGCTGACAAACTTGCAGTCCCTGTTGCCGTGTTGCATTTTCTATATAACAGGGTGTCTCATAATTTTTTACCGTTTTTATAACAACCGCCGTATTTTGTATCTTTCCATTCATCTAATGTGGCTTGAGTAAGCATTCGACGGGGCAAAGCAAGCTCTAAAAGATGGCTATCAAAAGTCCTCCCAAATCATATCCCACCTAAAGTTTTAAGCTGAAATCTGTTAGTAGCAAAAACGAACTTTTCTCTCAAAATCCGTATCTCCGCCCCAAAGTAGCTGAAAAATTCCTCATTTATCCTATCATATCCTATCCTGCTTGACACATCGCACATTCGATTGCAACTTTCCGAATTTTTTTCATGGCTAGAAATGAAGAAAAAAATGAATAAGGTAAATTGACAAACTCCTTCACTATGTGCGACTAGCTTTTAACTTTGAAGAAAAGCCTGTACTTGAAGAGAATACGACGATATGACTTCATATAATACTGAGAGATTGTTGCTTTCTATAGAGCAAAGAAGGGATATCAGCAAGAAAAAGGTGTTGCGCTTTGGAGGTAAACAATTTTAAAATTTTAGTTGCACAAGGTATAGTCGATTCGTTGACCGTACGGAGTGGGCATCAGTGCGGAGTACGTGTCACAAGGTAAAAAAAAACTTGCCCCACTGTAAATGCGCCATTGTAAAGTCGTGCTCCCACAACATTTCGGCCGCGTCGCAAGTGATCCGCAACTGTTGAAGGCATTGTCTATGCTCAGTATGTAGTGGTGGGATCCTGATGCAGTACAGGAACGTAGCTCTTGGCAAGCCCAACAGACCCATGCCCACAAGCCCCATGAGAAAGGTGGATTCTGAAGCGAGAGAATTGATTCAAACAAGTTCACGAAAAGGCGGCGGTAATTTGATCCCGCCCCCTGTCGGTGGAATCCCGCCCACAGAGGGCTTCCTACAACTGCAGAAGAGCGCGTTTCGCTCATCGCTCTTAGAAGAAGACTCTCGAATAAAGGGGTTTTGCGATTTTTGGATAGTTTGAGGGGCAGATTACGAATCAGCAGGCCGAAAACAGTCAAAAGTGTCCAGAATTTTAGAGTGAAATAATGAAATATTATCTGGACAGTGCCTTTACGCAGTCCGTGCGGTCAACGAATTGACGATACTTTTGAATGATCGAAAACACTGTCAAAATAGGTGTTGCTTTCCACAGGTGAGATAATTGCAGTTCCTGATAGATTTTTTGCACAAACGTTTAGCAATGTTCATTTAATATTGAATCGGCTTTCGTAAGCATTTCCCGTAAGAACATACCAGACTTTCCAAACAATCCTTGCGACAGTGCATAAGAAGGGCTTAACCATGCGCCGTTTTCAGGCTTGAGATTTAGGCTTGAGATTTTGAAATAACTTGAAAATATGAAACTTACGTTAAGTTTTAACTTTCGCAGAAACGGTTCGGTACCAAACATACCAACGAGCTCATAAAATAACAGAAAGCACATTGCCTTCTCATTTCCATTGATGATCAATGAGATAACGTAAACGAATATAAGCTTTGTCATAATGAATGTCAATGTAATTGAGCTGAAGGAGTCAAAGGGTAATAAACAACTTACGATAACCTGTCACTTTATGAGTATGGCGTGTTTTTGTAACGAAAATATAGTGCATGATCTGAATCATAGCCAGGGTCGAGCGAGAGGTGTGGCACACAAGCGCCGGGTACGCCCCCCTCTCAACCCCCGATCTTTTGTCTCAATACCCCCCCCCCCCCTATCAGCATTATCGTTTGCCTTCCGTGAGCATGAAATAAAGGCTCTACAGGTCTGACTTTTTTCGGTCGCTAGGCGGTTCTCCGCGCTCCAAGCCCGGAGTCAGCAATCGCCCCGTCGAAAACAAGAGTTGGCTTAGTAAGTCTCCTTTGTAGGCGAAAAATGTTCATTACTCGATCAGCAAAAAGAAGAGAAACAAATCCTGCTTATTGGATCTCGCCTACGGCGCCAAATGGTAGCAAGAACGATGTCAGGGTACTCAGGGCCCTTTCGGATTGGACAAAAACGGCACGTCTGCCCGGACAACACGCCGTGAAGACTGCCTCATGCTCTGTACCTAGAATGCCAGAACAGTCTCCACAAGCGCCGACCTCCACGCTCTTCTCGACGCTGCAGAGACCTTGGATAACACGCTATAGCTCTGCAGGAAACGATGTCCACGAAGAAGGACGTGCGACAGATGAGTGATGGGACACTCATCATTCGTGGTGAAAAGGTTCCATCACCAAAAGTGAGAGGCGTTGGCTTTGTCGTCCACCCATCTATCGTCCATCTTGTCGATTAGCACGAGATCCTGTCACTTCGACTAGCCATCCTACGACTACGACCTCTACGTCAGAAGACCATCAGCATTATCAACTGCTACCCTCCAACATCAGCAGCTAATAAATCAGAACTAGATGCTTTCCACGAAGACATGGAAGAGGTCGTCCGCATCGAGAAGTCTTTTTACAAGTTCGTTATGGGCGACTTCCGCGAAGATCGGGATGCCACTGGAAGAGAAATGTAGGATCGGGAAGTTTGGATATGGGCTCCGGAACGAAAACGATAACCGTCTCGTTGGGCTTCTCTCCGCCGCACGACTTTTCCATGGAAACTCCATCTTCATGAAGAAAGAACATCGTCGGTAGACTTGAGAATCGCCCAACGGTACGATTTATGCGGAGATCGACCACATTCTCACCAACCTAAGATGGAGCTTGCTCGAGTCTCAGTAGTTTCTCCTTTTGCAGTGGCTCCAATCGCCGCCTCCTTCGAGCGAGCATACGACTCAGTAGAAATCTGGAAAAGAAAGTCTGTCATAGTGCCGCGAGAAGGAAGGAAGTCGTTTATGACGTTAACAGGCTGGAAGAGCTCATATCAAGTTGTGACTGGCCCATCGAAAAGGACTCAACGTACGACTACGACCGGCTTCTGAAAGGAGCCTGCGGAGCACAGGTGCGATAGTGTGAGAATTTTCTCACCCCCTCTTCACTCCTGAGCCGGAACCAAGGTGACCCCCTTCACCAAAAGCCGAGAAAAAAATCAACAGTGAGGTAAGGTCAGGCAAAGGAGACATCTGTGCGTGAATTGTTTATGTTTAGGAAAGGAGGATCTGTCGAAAAAAGTGTTTGGGTGGCAGTGTGAGTAGTGATCTCTGGACATTTTCGAGTTTTTAAAATAAAAAATTCATAACTTTTGTAGGTGAATATCTTTTACGGCGAGATAATCACCGTTAGAATTGCCTCAACCTCCTTTTTCAGATGATATACAGTGTGTCTCAGACTGTCCAACTGCCTGGGTGAAGGGTTTGCTCATTGATTTCTTGAGATTTTCGAGTTTTTAGGATAGAAAAATCCGTAACTTCTCAGATGAACATATTGTACCCCGCGGTGATTACCTTTGGAACCGCCTCATCCTCCGCTTTCAGAAAATATACACATTGCCTGGAGTTCATTTGAAAAAGTGCCTGGGTAAAGGGTGTGCTAGTGAATTTTGGAGATTTTCGAGTTTTAAACGTAAAAAAATTTATGACTTTTGTAGACGAATATTTTTTACGCCGTGATAATCACCATAGGAACTTGGCTTTTTTACCATTGTAAAAAGACATCTGCTTGAGCACTCCCATTATAAAAGTCTCACCCATCCTTCACCCGGATTTTTTTCTTACGGACCCCAAACAAAGTATATATTTTCTGAGAGCGGAGGACGAGACGGTTCCAATGGTGACCATCACGCGTAAAAAATTTTCATGCACAGAAGTTATGTATTTTTTTATGCTAAAAACTCGAAAATCTCCAGAAATCACTAAAACACCCTTCACCCAGGCACTTTTTTAACGGACTCCAGGTATTGTATATATTTTCTGAAAACGGAGGACGAGGCGGTTCCAATGGTAAAAAACGTCGTACAATACGTTCATCTTCAGAAGTTACGGATTTTTCTACCCTAAAAACTCGAAAAATCCAAAAATCACTAATCACACTCTTCACCAGGCACTTTTTCAACAGACTTCAGGCAAACTATACATTCTCTGAAAGCGGAAGACAAGTTGGTTTTAAAACATTTCCCTTGCTGACGTTGCTGTTCATCTACAGAAGTCACGAATTTCTTTAGAAAATTCGTAAATGCTCAAAAATTAACGCTCCATTTTAATCAGATACTCAGTAGTCCACAGCTGAACATAAGATACGAGCAGAGTGCATGTTTGCAAAGTATACCGTATGATTTCTTGATTACTGAAACATTTTCACCCGGAGAGCTGCGACCGCTGTGACCCCCTTCACCCTTATCGCACCTGTGCTGCGGAGAGTGCGCCTCAGTGACTTCTGAGAAAAACTTGAATCGCATCTTGAAAACCACCCAGGAATTGCTCGAGCTCCATGTTCATCAAACGTCCGAGATACATGTAAGAAAAGGTTTCCATAAAAGGTGCCTTCCGATTCCACTTCTACATTTTCGCAAAGGGCGTTCTTCATAAAGTGAGTCTTCTTCCCACTTATCCGCAAACCGATCTTCTTTTTAACTTCGTTCTTTTCCTTCAGCATCGTCTCTGCTTCAGTGATACTGCTTGAGAAGAGAACGATGTCGTCCGCAAAACGAAGGTTCGACAGGAATCTCCCATCAACTCGTATGCCTCTCTCGTTCCAGTCCAGTGACTTCATCACCCACAACAAGGCCTCGGCGAACAGCTTCGGCGAAATTGTATGGCCTTGTCGGACCCCTTCCCAATTGGAATAGTCAGGGAGCGATGGAACAGCTGCATCGTTGCTGTATAGTCCTTGTAGCAGTCGGCTAATGTCCTCACTTAGATGGGTCCACCCCTTGCTCGACTAGCGCAGACAGCATGGCATTGGTTTCGACGCTGTCAAAGGCTTTCTCATAGTCAACGAAGGTTAGGACGACAGGCAGTCGGTACTCCCGGCAGACTTCTATGACCCTCGAAACCTTCCGGATGTGGTCCATGCAGCTGAATCCTTTGCGAAATACAGCTTGTTCTTGGGGTTGGGCTTCATCCAGTGTCCCAGATATGCGAGCGAGGATAATCTTTATGAAAAGTTTGTAGAGCACACTCAATAGGCATACAGGACGGTAGTTCGAAGATCCTGTTCGCCCTTCTTGAAGAGAAGGACGGTTCTTGACGTTCTCCACTGATCGGGAATCTTCTCTTTTTGAAGGTAAGATGTTAAATGCGGCGCTAGAACCTCGTGTAGACGGTGTCCTCCGACTCGCAGAAGTTCGACGGAAAGATGATCTGGTCCTGAAGCCGTGTATCTTCATGGTCTGAATCCCCGTGAGCACTTCAGCAGGTAGAAAACTTGGCGGTACTTCTCCGGTGGGAACAACGGGCATCGGCACGGATGTTGATGGGCAGAAGAGGTTAGTGTAGAAGTTCTTCGCGATAGATTCCATCTTGTACCGGAAAAAAGTCGGAGTCCCGTCTTTGTTTGTGCAGCCAGCGGTACGTGATATTCGCAGGGGTCCCTTCGCCACCTCTTGAGACTTCGTCTTCTTCAGCTGCTTTCAGTACCTTGGCTTGCCTGTACTTTCTGAGATCCTCTTGCAAAGCTGTTCTGCAACTGGTGTTGGCTATCTGTCCCTCGAGATGAGTTGCATTCGGATTCTGCCTCATTAATTTCTACTCAAGGGAAGAACTTAACAGGAGAAGAAGAGCAGCCTGAGCCGCCTTCGGGCCTCTGAAGGAAGCCACCGACCAACTGATGGACCCGGAGCTTCGTGCCCACCTGTTCGACTCAACCGTTCTCCCGGCGCTCCGTTACACAGCTGAGACTTGGGCTGATACCGTAGCCACGTGGAAAGCCTTACGGACCACCCACAAAGCGCTCGAGCGCAGTCTTCTGAAGATGACCCGACACAAGCAACATCTAGTCGGATTTCGCAGTACGGATATGAGGAGAATGTGCCGTCTTCATGACTCAGCAAATTACGTTGCGAAAGCGAAGCATCGATGGGCCTGTCACATTATGAGGAGAACAGACGACAGATGGACACCAAGAGCATCGAAGTGGTTTCCTTGCAAAGCAAAACGTCCCCGAGGAAGACCACCAACGAGATGGGCAGACGTGTTCGTGGAACGGATGGAACAGCTGAGAAATCGGCTGGATACGACTTTCGCCCCTGGAACTTGTGGACGCAGCCACCGACGTCAGCCAAGAAAAAGCAGCGCCCATTGCCTCTAGTAGATCCCAGCAAAAAATTTTTCGGGAGTACTACTTCTGCAGATTATAGTGCGCTAGAAATTAGCCGCAGACTTTTTTCTAAAGGAAGTGAAGGGGCTGGTGGGTTCTGGAAAAACCTGTTGTTCTAAATTTCACTCACCATGCGTTTACCTCGAGGATGCCTAATTTTCAAAAAGAAGATTAATTGAGGCAATGCAAAACTAAAAAACAAAAGGGTCTGAACCTACACCTGCATCAACTTACGAGGCTATCGCTCGATCCACTACACCACAGCCTACCAGAGGTCGTGCCACTTCAATCGTATTTCCTTCGGGAGACCAAACTTGGCGC